TAATGCCAGAAAAGCTTGAGCATAAGAATGTATGCTGGGGAGCAGGACATTTTTCTATTAGATGCTTTCTTTATCCCTACATCTTTCAGACAGGCGGAGGGCATGTGCTCTAGGAAGGAGAGTGGGATGCTGGAAGTCAAGTCTCCAGGGTTTAATTCCCAACTCTGAACCTCCCTAGCTTCAAGGCCTTGGGCAAGTCACTTAACCTCTGTTCCAAACAGAAATAATACCACCTCTTCCCAGGAGCACACCAAGGCAAGTTTGATTGATGGCTAAGCTCTTGGAGTCTTCGATGAAATGTGCTGACTGGCTGCCAAGTATTACTACTGCTAATAATAATAATGTTTTTCTAACACAATCCCACAGAGCAATATAAATCTGTAACAAGGGACAGATTGCTCCAACAAAGCAAATTGTGACCAATTCTTTTTGAAAGAAGGATGATAAGCTTAATTCTACAATGGGGTTGTTTTCTGTATTCTGTTCTCTCCTTATTTATAAGGAGAACAAGTTGTCCAGTGTCTCCATGAGGTGTGTAGGCTTCTTTGGAAAGGGAAAATAAAGGGGAAAGATGGCAACCAAGCACAGACACAGTGGTATTACAGAAATACCATGTTTCTTGGGTGGGTTGATCATCTATAGAAAAAAATAAACAGGTGATTAGTAAGGCAGAAATGTTGTCATTTGTTATTTCATCGGTTACACGGTTTTATTAAAACTCAAAAGGAAATTTAAGGAAACTCCAACCCATCAATTTGGTTTCAGAACATCTATTTCTTGAAATAGAAATATTATTCCATAGTATTTAGGAGATTTTCTCTTTTCCTTTATAATATCGAATATGATTTTTTAAAATAGGATTTTAATAATAAGATTTGATTAGTCTTCTGGGTTATAAAATAATGTATATTTACCCTGAAAAATTTGGAGAAAAGTTTAAAACCTAAATGAATAAAAATTGGGATGTTGCTATACTATAGTAATTAAAAATGTGTTCTCAGCGTAGAGTGCTAAGGTTCCACCCCACGTCTACCACTGTTAATTTTAGCAGAACTCTGAATTTCTGTGTACCTGATTTTATCTTCAAAGTGGGACGATAAAGCCTATCTTCTTGGTTGTTTGAAGAATTCCAATAAATTAAATAGTGTGTGTGAAGCATTTGAAAGAGAGCCTGGCACAGAGAACATTGTTCATTAAGTTACTGTGATTATATAATTACCCATAATCCCTAAATTTAAGGACAGTTTTTCCGAAGTCCTTCCATGTATCTAAAATGGTATATTAAGTATGTTGCTTCTTTTGCAGAATTGAAATCTGTTGTGTCCACCACCCCCCTCCCAATTCGTATGTTGAAATCTAATCCCCAGTGGGATGGTATTAGGAGGTGGGTCCTTTGGGAGGTGTTTAGGTCATGAGGGTGGAGTCCTTATGAATTGGATTAGCGCTCTTATAAAAGACACCCCCAAGAGCTCTCTCAGCCTTCTGCCATGGGAGGATACAACAAGAAGACAGCTGTCCATGAACAAAGGAAGCAGTTCCTCATCAGACACTGAATCTGGTGGTGCCTTGTTCTTGGACTTCCCAGCTACCAGGACTGTGAGAAATAAATGTCTGTTGCTTTAGCTAGCTGGTCAGTGGCATTTTGCTATAGCGGCCCAAACAGATTAAGGTAAAATCATACTGTACAAAACTGTTTTTAACCTGCTTTTCATCACTTCACACATTACAAAGATTTTCTCATGTCATTAGATATTTTTGTGCATTTATGGCACATTGAGGGCTGCAGATAGTTCTGTGGGTAGATTTGTCGTAACCTACAGAACCAACTTCTTATTGTCAGCCATTTATATTGTTCTCAATTTTTCTTTTTATAAAGAATGCTGCAAATGACCAACACCTGTGTGCCCCTTAGCTTTGGGATAGATCTCTAGAAGTAGACTCTGAGAAGCGGAGGATATGCACACTTTTAAAGCTTTTGATATTAAATTGTCCTCCGGAAAATTTGATACAGTGGTAGATATGTCATTCTAATGTAACATTGTCTTATTAAATCCCCATCAACATATGGTTTCTCTCTGCATGAGATATGCCTAGGATACTCTTTTTTGGGGAAGACAAGAGGCAGAGGGATAAATGAAGAGAGAGGAATATAGATTGAAAAAGTATGGATGACTTTCGCACTTTTTCAAGATTAGTTTCTACTGAAACAATCTATGGGCAGGCATCTCAGATTTATGAAGTTTAGTAAAAACTGACAAGCATAGACCCCACCCTTCAACTCTATTTAGAAGAATTTGTTTTCCAACTTCTGTTATTTTTTCCTCTTTTTTTCCTATTGTGCATGATAGCAAGGCTATTTTGAAATAGCCATATTCTGGCATAATTTATCTCACATTCTTACAATTTACTCACTTCACAATGTTAACAGAAAGCCAAGTTCTCCTTTGACATTTTCCCCAATCCGGTAAGATGTAAATCTCGACAAAAAATATGGATGCAACTAAAGGTAGCTTCTGATCTATAGTAGCAACCTGACATCAGCTTTTATTTTTCGACTCACTAACTCATCCGTGCCCACCACTTGGCCTCTTCACCTTTTTAACCTTGCTTTTTGTTCTCTGAACTGCCCTCCAAAAAGAGGACAATCATTTTTAAACTAAGGTTATGTTCACTGAGTCTAGAAGTAAGCAATATATGGGTTCACTTTGGTGGAAGAAGAAAAGAGAATAGGGGCTCAGTTATTCGAATCGAGTCCTGCCCCTTGATATTAATGTATCCAGCACCTACATTTAATGGGAGCATTCTTCAGGGGTTGCAATGAACGGTGTACATCTAAATTCTACATATAAAGCTGTGATTTCATTGAAGGATTCTAGTGGCATTGACAAATGATGTCACCAGTAAGCTGTGCTTGAATTACAGCTTTAATTATTTACACCTGGGTCTACATTATTCCTGTATTATACCTGTCGTAGCACTATCTTGTCCTGGGCCTGCTAACAGGACCGTGATGATAATTTATTCCAACGGTGGGTCAGGTAGAACAGCATAGCAGCATCCGTCAACCACTGCACAGAATGGCAAGACTAATGCGGGACCAGTCAGAATGTGAGTGTAGAATTTACACAGAAGTTATTTTGTCAACTCCTTTACCTAAGGAAAAGAGAGCTTTCTGGGCTCTTGAGGGAGTAGCACTGCTAACCTGCTAACCCAAGAGGAGAAAACTGTCTGTCATTCTTTCTCTCTTTCTCTCTCATTCTCCCCACCTCTCCACCTCTCTCTTTTCCCTTCTGCCCCTCATTATTATTTGATTTACAGATACCTCTGAGATTACATTGATAACAACAGGAAACCCAGAAAACATATATTTAGATATTTTCATTCTGAACTCATATGTGCCTTTGAGCAGACCCCAGTCCCTTTTAACAAAATCACCTTGTTTGTGACTTGTCTTATATGAAAGGCCCCAGGAAAAAGTAATCTGGTCTGGGCACATAAAAGTGATTGAGATTTTGTATCCATTTTGTCTACCCAATATTTCACTTCAAGGAAATCCTCAAGTTAAAGTTATTTTTACTTATTAAAGAATGATTGTATGGCACAAATGAAATTAAACATGATGTTTTGACCTAAGTTTATTAATTGCAAAGCTCAATACCAGATAATGGTATTTTGGGGAATGACTCCTACATGGTAGGGATGTTTATGTACCTTTTCAAGTACCCTCCCATGAAGATGAAAGAGATGGTATGGGAAGGGCTCCAACTGGACATTAATCACAACTAGCATTTGAGGTCCCTAAGGAGCCCGAGGATTTCACGAGACAGCCTGAATGAAGAGAAGTTTATTGAAAAAGAAACACACCAATCATATATGATCCTATCAGCCATATGTTGTAGAAAACACTTTGAAATCAGCTGGTGTATAACTCAAATACAGATTTTTATAATGGTTTCAGCTGAGAAATACTCTTAGAGAAAAGATGCATAAGAAATTTATTTTCTTGAGAAAGAACATAATGGAGGGAGTGTAGAAGGGAAAATACAAACATGAAAATAGTAATTGAGTTAGATAGTTGGGATTATTGATGCTTCTTACTTATTTGAAAAAAGCAGGGAGGGCGCCTGGGTGGCTCAGTTGGTTAAGCGACTGCCTTCGGCTCAGGTCATGATCCTGGAGTCCCGGGATCGAGTCCCACATCGGGCT